GAACCAGAACATTGAGGAGAGACAAGATCGCAGCAGAGCTGTGGGTCAGGTCGCTCTCAAACGATCCTGGAGTCACCAGCTAAAAGCTTTTCTCATTTAGATGCGAGCAACTGGTCAGAGCATCTTTAGTTGCAAGAAGCCACTATCTGATAATCTCTATGTTACTAAACAAACACAAACCAACCAAGGAACCCTGACAGTCTGAACATCGGTGTTAGCTCATGCTCTGAAATAACTACCTGGCTCACGTGTGAAAGGACAACAAAGGGTAAGTAACTTGGCTGCCTCAAGGTTACAGCATGGTTTCTGAACTACAAACACCGTTTCAAGACGTGCAAAAGTAAGCAAATGTCATCTCATTTTCCAGATGGGAAACAGAAGCAAAGAGTTAGGAAAACACTTACAAAAAAGCAAGCAGGAAGGAATCTGCAGGAGCGGGATAATTCCTCCTGAGCCCGCTTGCAGGACTCCTTCACTGGATGCATTTTAACTGATGAACAAATGTCCTCAGAACCTCTGAAATAGGAACTTGCAAGTTTTATCTCTGGACTTTTAGAAGTCAGTTAGTGTAACCAAAAGACTACAAGAAAAGGTTTCTGTTACAAAACTTACAGTAATCTCAGTGCCCTGGTTTTAAGTTTTGTAGTGCTAACCAACCTCCCAGGACAGGAAAAGGGCAGATCAGCGAAAGCAGAAACAGGCAGAGGGAGGAAAAACGCAAGGCAGAAACCTCGTGTTCCTTTAGGCCTGTAAGGTCAGCTAGAGGTTGCAAGGCTACAGTCCAGAAGTGATTTTCCTGAAGAAGAAAACAAGGAAAGGAGAAAAGCGGTTTCATTTATCCAGCAATCACGCAGGCAAAGGCAAGTAACAGCAGGTAACACAGGCTACCCAAGCCAACCTTGGCAGAAGCTGCCCAGCCCAGGACAAGGGAGGCTGCTTTACTGTGCCACCAGGGAAGGGTGAAGACAACAGGCTCCCTGCCACCAGGCTCCTCGCTGTTAAAGGTGAGGCTGCCCTGACCAGGTACAGTCAGCGGCTCACGCGTGGATTACCTTGGGAGACTCGCTGGTGACCGTGACTCGGAAGAGAAACATGGACACGCACATCCCGGCCATCATGGAAAGCAGGAGCGCGTGCCGGGGGTTCCCGTAGCTCGACAGACCCACCTGCAGCACAGGGAAGGAAACGGGGGATAGAAGCTAGAAGGACTCTTGCTTTATACTGGTGGAAACTAATGCCATCCACACCGCCTGGTCAGACACACAGAACGTGAGCCAAAGTGGACCTTTCACAGCAAGGCTTCTTGGTTCAGTTTAAGGGCTGCCTGCAGTCCAACTGTGCTAAACAAGAAGCTCTTAGTGATAAATGATACTTCTGTTATCAACTGCACCCTATTTCCACCCTGAATTTGGCTTCAGATCCCACCACTGGGTTTTAATGCAGGTCCATTTTTGGCCAGAAGACAGCTGTCAACAACCAGATCTCCTTCAACAAGGAAATGTGGAGAGCACAGTAAAGCAAATAAATTTAACAGACCAAACATCCTAAAAGAGGGTGTTAAAACACCTTTAAAAAAGGGTGTTTGGCAGCTGTCCCCATGCACCCAGCAGAACTGCTACGGGCCTATTTCTCAGTTGTACCAGGCAGCGGCAACACCAGCCTGACAGAGCACCTTCCTGAAGCTGCTGAGGTGGGTCGTGTCCCTCCCAACCCAGCTCTGCGTGAAGGAAGAGAGATGAATGCTCTGATTTTCTAAAGTCCCACCTCAGAGCAGGGTAATTTAGACACAGAACTGCTTCCAGAAGAGCAGCTTGGGAAGACAGAAGAAAGAAACACAGCACTGAGAGCAGCTGCTTTGTAGCATGAGGCAGCAGCTCCCCACCTCTGCATTCTGGGTATCCCGAATCTCCTGAGCAACATGAACAAGGGGAGTGTTCTGCTCCACTACCGGTGTGGGTATTAGAGAAGGGGGAAATCATCTTTAAGCACTCACAAAGGAAGCCAAAACAAACTGCAAAAGTTCTGCAGCAGTTCAACTCGATGCTGTGTTAACTGCCCAGTGGGTCCAGCTTACTTACTCTTGCTACTGCTCTGTCAGAAAGATATCCAGCAGCAATGCTTCCCACCAGACCGCCGATCTCCAAGGCACTCATGTAGGAACTACCTAGAATGCAGGTGAAGCAAAGGACAGGCCACCAGGTTTGGTCACAAAGCTGCTGCGTGCTTTAGACTAAGCTTGACCACTGTCAGCTCCCAGCAAGCTCAGAGCAGCTCTGCTGGACAAGACCCTCCAGCTCATCCTTGTACAGGGATGCCCATCTGCCAGTCCCAGAGGGCCCTGGCACTGAGGCAGTAACTCCAGCACTGACTTATGTCAATGCCTACATGTACCTAAGCAGACGGTTAGGAGGTAGGTGAGCAAGTCCCTCAGACAGAGATCCCTGTGTCCTTTTCCTGCCCCCATTCAAGCTCTGGGCAACACCACCCAGACTGCAGCCACAGAGCTTAATAATGCAGCTTTGCATCTTACCCACAAGCACGGATTGTCCCCTCTCCTGGATCAGGAAGAGCTGTCCCCAGTCGGTACAGCACGTTTTCACTCCAAAAACGACCAGGTAGCCTGTTGAGAGCACCCAGAGGTACGGCGAGAGCAGCAGCTCTGTCAAAGTGCTGTTGTCACTGGAGGAACCTGCCAGGAACATCAGGAGGAGCATTACCAGTGCTTGAGCATTAGCACACCTTGAAGCATATCAGCTCAGTGGCACTACAGACAGATCTGTGAGCGGGATTCGTGCACAAGGACATCCCTACAGAGGAGGATATTCATAAAGGGAGGTATTCATAGGTAATGAAGGGCTTTATCTCCCTCTTGTTCTGGGTTTGCTGTGATTCCAGAATCTTTTCCGTCAATTTATCCCACATTCATTCAAGATTTCTAAAGAATAGTCAAAACACTCCTCCCAGTAACGTTCTGTGTTGCGGCTGCCAATAAATCCTCTGCAGACGTTGCTAGGAAAATTATCAGCTCCTCCAGACTTTGTGCTAATGTTTTCAGCAGTGCCTGTGGAAGCCACTACATAGACCCAAACCAAGATGCTGGCTTTCAGGTCTTCCCTTGAATTTTGCTTCAGTCTGTGAGGAACACCTACAGACATAACCCACCCTCCCCAGCAAAGGCTCTGGGGAAGCAATTATTGCTTTCTTACACAGAGAGGTCAAGTCTAGCAGCACAGGCATCGCAGGACAGTGAGGAAGATAGGCTGAGCTTCCCCTGGCCTCTCAAATCCTACAGCAAGCTTGTGTTGCAATTCGCCTCTACCTGTTCTGCTTTCAGAAAAGCGCCATACTCAGTGGTCTGAACAAACATTTACTAACTAGCTGTCCTAGGCTAGGACAGAAAAGCCTGAGCAGAGTCCACCTCAAACCCACACGGGGTGAGGGGAGAGCTGCCTGTCTTCTGCCAGCATGGAGAGGCAGGTCAGGCTTAAGGAAGCATTTCCTGCCGTTGCGTTGCTGTAGCCCAGACACAGTCCCCTTCCCATAAGATCACACTTGGGCTTGGTTTAGAACTTCAGCGTTCTAAACTTACCAGAATAAAGCTGCTGAAAACAAGCCCTTGCACGTGCCTGCAACGTGGTGATTGTGTGAATTGGGAAGGACAGAGGGCACAAGACACCAGGAGTGACACACCTGTGCCGGAATACGCACTGCAGCTGCCCACTTACAGCGAAGCCTCGTGCTCACCTTTCTTCCCTTTCTTGGCTCCTTGGTCAATGTTGGGCAGCCCAACATCCGATGGCTCATTTTTAATCAGGGCTAGGCAAAGGAAAGAGGCAACCACGCAGATGAAGCCGGAGCAGGACAGAGTCACACGCCAGTCGTAGTTCAGAGATGCAAGAGCGGCGACGACAGGGCCTAAGCCTCCAGCCAAGTTCATGCTTGTAGACAGGACTGACCACCACGTCCCAAACTGCGATGGCTCAAACCACTGTGCAACGACAAGAAAAAGGGCATGAGGTCTGAGGAAGAGAGCGACACCACACCCGAAAACCCGCAGCCGAGGCCCACTGCGGCACTGCATCTCCAAAGGCAGGTAAAAGGAGCGCCCACTGTGCTCCCTCAGTCCCGCAGGGAACTCCACACAGCACCACAGGAGCCACGAGCCAGCTCCAAGGAGCTGCCATTTACAGACCATGAAACTGAGCTGTGGTTCAGAAGAGGCAAACTGGAGAGCACAGGGCTCTGCACCCCCCCTTGCAGGAGCAGCGTCCTCCTGGAGATGTCTGCTGGCACAACACCGCACACGGGTACGCGGGGAGTCACAGGGTAACTTTAGGACTCCCTGCTAAGAATCAGGCACGATCAGCTCTGCATTGCAACGTGTCCTCAGAGCCAGAACCGCTGGGGTGGCTGCTGTTTATCTTGAGAGCTACATTCACACACGTCTTCAAACAACACCGTCTGTTGTTTCTGTGATTCGAGCCCTTCCTTTGTGTGTCCTTTTCTGGCCAGCTAGATGAGCTCGACGCCTTGCAGAACAGCAGGGCAGTTGTCAATCCTCCCCCCTCCAGTCCCGCAAGCACGTGCATTCCTAGATTTTACATCTTTCCAGAGAGGTAAGCACACAGCTGACCTCCCTTCCTTCCAAAGGCGCGAATCAATCCGATCCCAAACTCACGCTGTTCCTCCATGTGTTACCCACTTTTCTACCTGGACAGCCTGTGGTTCGCAGTTCCCCAAGCATGCAGATGGAATTCTGCTCGGCGCCCTTTGCCCGGCAGCAAACTGCCACAACAGTGGAGACACAGGCAGACCTCTGCCTTCATGCTGGATTCCCGCAAACCACATCTCTTACAGTGCAGAAGGTCTGCCACCAGGAGACGTGACTTCTCAAACTGAACTAGAATCAAGGCACCTACGAGCACGGGCTGGGCAGCTTTTGGAACCTTTGCCAGAATAACCAGACCCTCATACATGGAAAACTGCTGTGCAGACAGAAGGCGGCTCAACCAGAGACTTGCACCTCCTTGGCTGGAAGGAGGCAGGTACAGGCACGTGTTTCTCTGGATCTGGAGCTCACGTTCCCGCACAGCCATGA